CCTGTAAAAATAGTTCTCTTTATTTTACGTTGTGGACTATTTTCTTCAAACAATTAGTTTATAAGTTCAGGGTAATGAGGCTTTGACACTTACTTTTTTCTACCCGTAACGCACGCAAATCTAAATTTTTGCGCGATATTCAGAGAATAAGATACATTCGATTTATTTTCAAGCAACGAAGTTCCTGAGGAACCTGGGAAAATTTCGGTGTAGAGGAATTTAATGGCATGTATATTGCTTAAAATTCCCGATGAGAAACCTTGGACTCGTGAAGATTTTTCATGTGTTCTATTTTTAAGAAAGACCCTAAATGCATATTCTGAAGGATAAAATGCTGTTACCGTCGGCGATACTCTCTTCCTTCAACGCAGACTATTTTTAGAGGATCAAGATTCCCCGAGGAGCAGAAGATTGAGTTCCACTCTCCGTAATACTCCCGACTTTTGTTTTGAAATTTATCGGAGTATTGGTGGGTACATTAAATCTACGTCCTATCAAAAAATGAGTCAATCTTGAGCTGTACTGATGAATGTAATTTCTTAATTTATACGAATTGGTATGCTCTAGTCTAGAGAGCACTTGATACCCAATCAAATATTATGATACTGTATTGTATATCATCAGAGTGAAGGAAATAAAAAGTGGAATGTCACATTGATCATGCAAAAAGTTTTTATAATCACTCAAACTCAGCCTCATCTTCGCTAATTATTTCAATATGATTTTATTTGTACCGTAAGACAATGATAACTTCGAAGTACCTGCACTTTCATTCAGGAGTTTCAGGACTCAAATATTGTACTGTTTGGCTATTAATTTTGAGGAAACGTGCGTTTGCCGTCAATCCCAAAAATACCTGACCCTTGAACACATTAAAAATATACCATTATCAAATATTTAAAAATACTCAAATTCTTATTACATCACGCAGCACAAAATTTTCAGATATTTTCTTGGATGCACCCTCATCCGCTGGAAATTCGATTTTGCCTCCATATAATGAAGAAAAGGACGATTTTCCGTGAAAATTATGCACACTTTATATATAGAACCCAACAGCTTTCAAGCGTAGCCCAAGAAAAATATTTGGGTGCGACAGTCTATTATTTGAACAATTCTGGATCATCCAACATCGGATCAGCAATGCGTGGGCATCAAGGAAGGGAAGTGGTNAATATTCTTATATAACGGAATATCTGAGGTGTGGGTGCAAAATCGGGAGAAGGTTTTTCCAGGAAATCCCTGCTGCAGGCATGCTTCTTGATGACACAGACGACGTGCATATCACTGATTACCAAAATAAACACCTCTTTGCTGCATCAGGCATTATATAGTTAATGTGATCCTATAGCGCAATGGAAGTTGCAACTTCGTCATTCTGTCACCTGGAGGGCGTCACACGCGGCGCAGGGAGCGAGAAAAGGAAAAAAAAAACCCCTTGCTTCACCACAAATGGGATTTCCTTGTCGTGTCCCAAACCCCCTTGAGCAAAACGGGCACATTATGACAAGAAATGAGCTTTCAAAATATCCAGTCCCCTGCTTCACTAGGCATCCTCACACCGTGGCTTTCATAAAAAAAAAACCAAAACTTCAAAGACAAAATCCAGTTAAAGACGAGTGCCCTGAGGGAGTTCATGGAGTGATCGTTTGAAATATACTAGAAAAAAATAAAACTGTGGAAAAGTTTGAGTCAAACAAGCACCAACACTAGCGCTCTCAAAGAATACTTTTTGTTCAAAGAAACTATTGTACTTGGAAAATTACAGTAATGAAATGGAATTATGCCATTATTGTGAGAATTTTGTTGAGTGAAGAAAATCTGAAGAAAATCACAACGTAAAAAGTAGAACCTCATTTCAATGACCAGGAATGTAGAGCCCCGAAACTTGTGGCATATCACAAATCTGCGTACTGCAATCGACACCAACGAGACGTTTTATGGTTTAAAATTAGATAAGTATAATTTATCGTAGTTTATAGTACATTGGAAGTCAAGTCGATAGTTCGATTCACCGTTCTGATCGTGATTATAAACTTCAATTCCTGTCAAAAATATTTTTCTTTCTTTTTCGTTGTGGACTATTTTCGTCAAACAAGTAGTTTATTCATTCAGGGCAATATGAGGCTTCGACACATATTTTTTTCTACCCGTAACGCACGCAAATCTAAATTTGTTGCACGATATTAAGAGAATAAGATACATTTGATTTATTTTCAAGCAAAGAAATTCCTGAGGAACCTGGGAAAATTTCGGTGTAGAGGAATTTATTGGTATGTATATTGCTTAAAATCCCCGATGAGAAACCGTAGACTCGCACCGGTTTTTCATGTGCTCTATTTTTAAGAAAGACCCTAAATGCATATTCTGAAGGATAAAATGCTGTTACCGTCGGCGATACTCTCTTCCTTCAACGCAAACTATTTTTAGAGGATCAAGATTCCCCGAGGAGCAGAAGATTGAGTTCCACTCTCCGTAATACTCCCGACTTTTGTTTTGAAATTTATCGGAGTATTGGTGGGTACATTAAATCCACGTCCTATCAAAAAATGAGTCAATCTTGAGCTGTACTGATGAATGTAATTTCTTAATTTATAATAATTGGTATGCTCTAGTCTAGAGAGCACTTGATACCCAATCTAATATTATGATATTGCATATCATCAGAGTGAAAGAAATAAAAATGTGGTATGTCACATTGATCATGCAAAAAGTTTTTATAATCACTCGAACGCAGCCTTTTCGCTAGTATTTCAATATGATTTTATTTGTACCGTAAGACAATAATTTCAAAGTACCTGTACTTTCATTCAGGACTCAAATATTGTACTGTATTAACACCATATTCACTCGGAAAATTTTGGCTATTAATTGTGAGGAAACTTGTGTTTGCCGTCAGTCCCAAAAATACCTGACCCTTGAGCACATTAAAAATATACCATTATCAAATATTAAAAAAATACTCACATTCTTATTACATCACGCAGCACATAATTTTCAGATCTTTTCTTGGATGCACCCTCATCCGCTGGAAATTCGATTTTGCCTCCATATAATGAAGAAAAGGACGATTTTCCGTGAAAATTATGCACACTTCATAGAACCCAACAGCTTTCAAGCGTAGCCCAAGAAAAATATTTGGGTGCGACAGTCTATTATTTGAACAATTCTGGATCATCCAACATCGGATCAGCAATGCGTGGGCATCAAGGAAGGGAAGTGGTGTGGGTGGATAAGAGATAACTAACCGTGTATAGACAGTCTAGCTATGATTGTGCAATACGCAAGAATAAATGGAGGAAGAATTGGGACGCAAATTGAGTTTTTGCTTCCGAAAGCACATCTACGTCACCAGATTTTTCTCCCTGGTTTCTGGGTATTCAGGCCAACGCATACGCTTCTTAAATGAATACAACGTGTTTTCACAGTTATTTTCGAATACTGCGCATTTATAAAATCTACCCGAGAAAGCTTTTGTAATCTTGAGCGCAAAATTCAATTAAGATTCCTTCTATGAAACAAGTTTGAATGTTCAAGTACGTGACCTTGAAACCACCTCACAGTTTTCTTTGGTAATTCTAAAATTAACGAGAGGTTCAACAAACCAGAATTTTATGCCGTATTTTCGGAAGTATTTAAAAATTAATTCCGAGTAATTAGAAAGCGATTTTTGATGGTTCCTTGGTTAATACACTTTGGAGGGTTTGTTCAAAAGTGCACATAACCTGTTGAAATTAGAATCTTTGTGTGGTAAATATATATTTTTTTCATAATCATCAAAAGCGCTTCACGTACGTGATGCAGATAGCAATTAAAACATTTGACGTGAATATCTAACTTTCTGCTGGGGATTTTCTCGATTGTTGCCTTAAATTGGTCGACTTCTTGCCCTATCAAAATGTTAGAGAAAACGTAGGGTTTAGAAATAACTGCAGACAAATTCCGTAAGAGCATTTTTGTAATGTCTAGGAAATTGAATCGAAACTACTGTATTTTGAAAGCAGCTAGTGAACCTCATTTCCTTGAAGTGGCCGATGGAGATAATTCCAAAATTTCAGATATGCCCCGCGATTCCAATTAGGAAATCATTAATTCAACATTTCTGTGCAGCTCCATCCATTTCCAATGACAAAAGAAAATAATTAAAACTTAATTGCCGTTATTTTCCACATCGTTTACTGAGATCAACCTGTACATATACACATACGGAATTTGGAAAAGGTCACAGAAATGAATTCAAGTCGTGGCAATCGAGAATGCTTAGCATTTTGTTTGTTGAGCATGAAACGCATCTGAATTGCTGACGATCTTATCTCGCTTAAATACAGCAACATCAACCCTTCCTTTTTTTTATTTCGTTCAAAGGTGTTCCTCTGGGGTGTTTATTTTTTATTTTTCAAGACTCCTTCGTCACGCTTCGCTTCATAGTCGATCGGGAGATGCAAAGCAGGGCACCGATTTCCTCTTGATTATCCCGCTTCAAATTTGCAATGCAACGAGTTGTTCCTTGCTTTTTGTTTCGTGTTTTTGTTTTCCTTTCGCACTCCTTTGAAAGCCGTTCAACAAGAGTATCCCCGCGAGAAGCAAGAACCCCGATTGCAGCATGATCAGCAAAGCACAGGATCACTGGGGGGTTCGAATGAACCCGGCGAGAAACTCTGCATAATGATGAGCTGCTGGACACACGTTCGGAAGGAATAAGACTATAAGGACACAAAAACAAAATCCCCGGCTAGATCTGGGAAATGAATTGAAGCACTGGGGGAAAGTCAGATAGATGTGACGCAAAAGTAGAGCACTATAGTAAGTTTACTTGCTTCTGATGGTGACTGGCAGGATTAATAGAAACGACCTTAGACTGACTTTTAGCATTCTTTTATCTACATGGCATAACTCCATCTAAGTTCGTCATTAAGATCATGATCTTATAACAATTTTTACTTATAAAAACTGTTCTTTATCGACATAGTCTGGTGAAGGAATTGTTTTGTTTTATTACACGGACATTGAATCGCATGCGAGGACAAAAACGGAGATTTTCGTAATTCATTCCTCGGCATTAATCCGATTAATCTCATTACTTACAGAATACATTCAGGCACCAAACCTTCAAACATCGTCCAGTCTAGGGGATGAAACCTTGCAAGGTATCTTTGCAATCCTTGTTCATTTACAAATACCGGCATTCAAGATGGTGATGCATGTGACTCTGCGACCCGAGGTATTGAAGGAGCCTCGCGGGTTGTTCACGCTGGCTGAACTGGTAGGAATTGATAAAATTTATTTTTAAAAATGTAGACTCTGACTGAAAACAAAATTTTTATCCCCTTTTCTTTTCTGGCTAATTCTTGGTTCGATTAATTTTTTTCTCTCCAAGGACGGGATACACTTCCAGGAATACAGTGGTACACAATAAAAAAATTTAATCAAATTTACACGAATGAAACATGATTTGTAGGAAAATTTTGCATAATCTCGTATACCCATTTTTTTGCTCTTGTCCTTCCAAACATTTCGAGTATTTAAAAATAATGAACATTCCTGGAAACAGTTCATTTCATCAAAATTTGGACTTTTGATTGAATTATTTATTTATTTTTAAAGTTGCTGTCAGTTTTTTGCCATATTCAAATAAATCNGGGGGGGTTCGAATGAACCCGGCGAGAAACTCTGCATAATGATGAGCTGCTGGACACACGTTCGGAAGGAATAAGACTATAAGGACACAAAAACAAAATCCCCGGCTAGATCTGGGAAATGAATTGAAGCACTGGGGGAAAGTCAGATAGATGTGACGCAAAAGTAGAGCACTATAGTAAGTTTACTTGCTTCTGATGGTGACTGGCAGGATTAATTCTTTGCTGGAATCTGACTGAAAATCGTAAGAAAATAGATGTACCGTATTGAGGTAGATTCAAGCAGTAATTCTAGTACTAGAATATTGTTAAAAATGAATATTTTTGACAAGAAATAGCTGTATCATTGGAGAATGAATTGTTTTGTTTTATTACACGGACATTGAATCGCATGAGAGGACAAACAAGGAAATTTTCGTAATTCATTCCTCGACTTTAGTCCGATTAATCTCATTACTTACAGAATACATTCAGGCACCAAACCTTCAAACATCGTCCAGTCTAGGGTATGAAACCTTGCAAGGTATCTTTGCAATCCTTGTTCATTTACAAATACCGGCATTCAAGATGGTGATGCATGTGACTCTGCGACCCGAGGTATTGAAGGAGCCTCGGGGGTTGTTCACGCTGGCTGAACTGGTAGGAATTGATAAAATTTATTTTTGTAAAATGTAGACGCTGACTGAAAACACAATTTCCACCGTTTTTCTTTTCTGGCTGATTCTTGGTTCGATTAATTTTTTCTCTCCAAGGACGGGCTATACTCATCCAGGAATACAGTGGTACACAATAAAATAATTTAATCAAATTTACACGAATGAAACATGATTTGTAGGAAAATTGTGCATAATCTCGTATACCCATTTTTTTGCTCTTGTCCTTCCAAACATTTCGAGTATTTAAAAATAATGAACATTCCTGGAAACAGTTCATTTCATCAAAATTTGGACTTTTGATTGAATTATTTATTTATTTTTAAAGTTGCTGTCAGTTTTTTGCCATATTCAAGTAAATCAAGTGATGGTACTAGGCTTTTTTTCAGGGCCAAACCGGATTTCGCAGAAGATAAGTTTAAAACTGTCTTCATGTAGAAACGAAATTTTTCATGATCTTCGGAAAAATGTTCTCGTGAAGAAAGTTCATCAATTTTTTGTATAAATGCTATTTATTATTAAAGTTGCTCTCAGTTGTTTGCCATCTTGAAAAAAATTCAAGTGATGGGACTAGGCTTTTTTCCAGGGCCAAACCGGATTTCGCAGTAGATACGTTTAAAAATGTCTTCATGTAAAAACGAAATTTTTCATGATCTTCGGAAACATGTTCTCGTGAAGGAAGTTCATCAATTCGTTGCATAAATACATCGCATGCGTGTTCCGTGCGCAATATGTAAGCACCGCCAGTTATAACCGGGGCGCTTCAGTGTAAAGGGACTCGAAATAGTTTCGCACATATGCTTTCAAATAAGTGGCTGGGCTGATGATGGGTCGACAAGGCCTTAATGATGATCAATTGACTTTCGCACGAGGTCATCGTGGGTGTTGCATGTGCATTGTTCCTGCAAACGAGGACGTACAAGCCCGAGAGCCGAGCAGAAGCATACGCCGTTGCCGGGTTCCTCTTCACTTTCTTCATCATCTCGCTGCTGACACTGATCGCTTATATCCTGGGACAGCCTAGGGGGGTTCTGGTTAGTTTTAAAAGAAAACTTATGGTTTGAGGGTTTATTTTTATAATTTGGATGATGATCAGTGTTTTATCACCCTCCATTTTGGTTTCTATAGTGTCATCTGCATAATCACTACACAAGGAGTTGATGAAAAGAAAGAGGATTTTTCTGACACAAGATTGTGCTTTAAATTGGGTTCAGTACAGGTGGGACCTTGAAATTTGACCTCCCGAAATTCAACCGTCCTGCCATTTGATGTTCGAATTTGCAGGGAGGTTGATTTGCAATTCGACCGAGTTCAAAGAAACGAGAACGTGCTTCAAGTAAAAAAAAAAAAAGTTTAATCAATTACTGTAACTGTTGAGGTTAATCTAAATCGGGATTCATTTTCAACTTTTACTTTTGCTAATGCTTGATTATCTCGAAAAAAAAAATTTTAAAGAGTGATGCATGTGATGCTAGAAATTCTTTAAATTTCTGCCTGAAATCTGCATGCACGATTAAAGGCAAAAACGACGGCATGAAATTTAGATAAGATAGACCCACGAATAACACGTGCGAATACAGTTGAAGCATACAGTATCACGAAACGCACGTTTTCAAACTGAAATTGAAAGTTTTTTTCTTATTCTGCACCACCATTTTGAATGATGAACCATCGATTAATTTTTCAGGAATCAGTGATCGCTTTCGGCGGAGCATTATTCTTGCTCTACAGCGGTTTATTTTTTATTCTGCACCACCATTTTGAATGATGATGAACCATCGATTAATTTTTTTCAGGAATCAGTGATTGCTTTCGGCGGAGCATTATTCTTGCTCTACAGCGGAATTGCTCTTTCAATTGCTCTGAGTTCCGTGTCGTTCTCAAATCCCCTTATTACAATGCTCCGGTTTCTCGGACTTTTCTGCGTTATTCAAAGTCAACCTCGCGCACGAATTCACTTGCGGACCGAAGATAACCAGGGGAATTAATTTCTTGAATAATCAACCAATGTGTTCTCGTATACGGTCGAAGCAACTCCTATACTTTTATTTAATACGTCAAATATTCAGGAAACTTCAAACCTTTTTCATGCTGAAACACAGATTCCTCCGCATTTCCTCAGCGCAAAATATTGTTTTCAAAGGAATCCCCTGGCAGATGCAGTATAATCTACTGTATTTTGATTAGTAATACACAACAGCGAAATGTGAATAAATTAACTAAATGACGGTCTTCGCGTGAAAAAATGCCGTGTCCAGAATTAATCTTGCAAAACAGTTGACAGCTGGTTCGGTAGTCTTCCAAGGTCTCATTGGTTGTAAGTACTGCGGTTAAAACTCACCACGACAACTAATTATTTTGATAAATTTGCTAACCTTTAAGGTCTAGGTTATAAAACTGTAGATGGTGACTCTCCATTTTAAATTTTTTTAATCCCTTTCTTTACATTGTAACGATGAACTGTTATAGGTCACTTGACAAGCTGAAGAATGTGATAATTGAATAACGGAGACATGAATGTGAAACCCATTTTGCGACTTTTAAGAAATTCTTTAAATCAACAGGACAAAGAAACGTCAAAAACAGTTGCAGCAAAAGCCTAAAAGACCGGGAGAATCCAACAAGTGATTTCCAACGGATAAATTCGTTATTTTTTAAATTTCAGTGTTCTTCGAACATAAAACTTATCACTACTGTATTTCTCTTGAAGAAGGAAAGATGAATGGAATTTTGAAAATTCGGTTTTGGTATCTGGATTTTTGTGCTGTAATCTTGGCAGAAATTGGACCAATTCCAGAAAATCATCCTTTTATGTAGGAATTAAAAAATGCCTTGCTTTAATTGAAACAGGGACGAGGTGACATTCACGTTCAACCTTGGGGATATTGAAAGCAGTACTTTTTTTTAAGCAGCGAGGACAATACAAATCACTTTAAAAGTTGAGAAAGTGTAATTCGTGTAGAAGTAAGCGAGTTTTATCGTGATTCTGCTATAGCCTTTACGTTGTTTTTTTTTCTATACCCGGATCTTCGGCTTTTTTTCTTCACTTGAGATCGCTTCTTATGTTCGCTCGTCTTGTCCAGAGGGAAATCATGTATGAACGTGATGTAGTCGGCATTTTAATGTTTCCTCTGTTCGGAAAAGAAAGACTTCCGCCAATACTATGCATATATGTTTTGTTTCATTGTGTAAAATAAACAAACAAAGAAAACGGAATGGTCGCGGATGTGCAGCATCATTAGCTGGATCGGAGGACGAATTCCCTCAGGTCGTCCCGAGTGCCAATTCATCTCGCGACTGCTGCGTCAATTTTCTTCGAGCAGTTTCTTCGCGAATATCGTTGCCAAACCGGGTGTTTCAAGGTTTCCGAAGAGTTTCTGTCACTTGAAATTTTCAATGGGGTTCAGTTTAATTCGCAGAATCAAGCGATATTTTTTTTGCGCGCCATAGAAGGTTTAATATAGCGTTGAACTTGTGTTTCTTCAACAGTTACACGCTTCCATTAAATATAATTCGTTTCGGATGCTACCTTACAAGCAAAAACTGCGTAAAAATGACTCTGGGTAATTTTTTGGATTATGATATTCAGAAAAATATAATCCCTTCTCATCGTGCGAAAATTAATTTATAAATCAAGCTTTTCTAAACTGCTGTTCTCTTTTTTTTTTAACTTGGAACATTTTGACACTGAATTGTTGTGAAACGTCCCGAAAAATTTTCTTCCCACCTTCAATGCATTTCGCACATTGAATTTTAATAATTCACCAATTTTCCACTTCATCTGGAGTTTGGACACATTCTCAATCGGTTCAATAGCCCCATTTTAGAAGAAGAAGAAAATCACTACTAATTGCTTATTTCATTAACGCCAATAATACCTATCACATGCATTTCTCTAGGTTTGCAAAATTTTTAGGATAAATCATATTTTCAAATCGCCATGATAAAACGGAAGGAAAATCTCAGCTCATTTTCAGGGCATCTTTCAAAAGCAAATGATCTCTTTAACTCTGTCATTTTTCCTCAAGCAGTTCCTCTGTTAGCTAAACCTGGTTCATGACCGATCAATGGTGACCTGGCTCGGTTGGGATTCAAATTTTCTATCTTATAGTAGGGTCACCGGGGAAATCCCAAGATGCACCTGTTGTTCAATCCGAAGGTGGAAAGTTCGAGGGATCTCCTGAGGAATCCCAGCAAATAGATGCTCATGTCGCAGAGAAATTTTTGTCTGGATATGACATAGCATGAAAGTTCTTCCCCCAACTCTGTACTGTACTTATCTTCCTCTTACGATGAAAGATAATCACATATTTCGAGAATGTCATACACATAGCAAAGCGGTGCGTGTGTCAATGTAAAAGTAAAAGCGCTGCTTTGAAAAGAAAAAACCACTTGAATGAGCAGCGTTTGGCCGAAGAAACACTTTTGATGAAAAATATAGATAAAGGATAGATTTGTGGTTGTGGAGGAACTTTTTGAGGGAATATGTTCACCCTTTGAAGTTTTGATCTGGTTTCCAGGATATTGGAAGGCGGACATCCATCTTCCGTGTCTCATTCCTCTTTTATTGGCAATACGCAAACATTAAACAACCTGAAAAAGCGTAGAAAAAAAATTTATTGGCCTTCTATTTATCACAGCGTGGAGACATTTTTTGTAACTGGGCGACGACGAATCCTCAAAAATATCTTTACAAGATTTGTGTGACCAGAGCTTCGATTCACCGTTTTAAAGCATAAGAATGAAGTACTATACGTGCAGATCCAATTATGTAAGATTGTATTTATTAAGAGAACGGCGAGATTATTTACAATCGATTTGATGTGACTCATAAGCTGTGATTCTCGTCCGCTTTTCGACCCTACTAAACTCATCAAATACATTTAGTAACGTTGAATCCGCCAATTCCCAAGATCAGTCAGAATAAGCTGAATTAAGATCGTTAAAAGGTAATCCGCAATAATCAGAAGAATATTCAGTTGTGAAAATATCGTTCCAGATTAAACTAGCTGTGATAAGATAAACCATATTCGACCGAACTTCGGGGATGATCTCAATTCAAATCGCTCCAAGGACCGGACGAGACGATTTCAAACAAGACCCTGTCGGGTTTTCATTTATGACGCATCATACGCGACGAATTATCTGCAATGACGGGGATATTTTATTTTTTTTAATGGTCTAGTTGTCATCGCCCTTAATTCTTTTTCATGATAATAATAATAATATTAAAAATAGCCACCAAAGTAATCATCATCATCATCATCAATCCGTGAGACGCGAAGCTCACCGAGACAGAGGCAAAGGATTCGTGCGAGAAAAAACCTGCTGCACAAGTGGAGCAAATAAATCAGACCAGCAGAGCTGATTTATTGCCTTCATGCTGGTTGCCGCCGTATCGTGCTGCACTTCTCGCGGTTTCGAATGAAAACTATAGAGAAAAAAAGACGAAGAAAACAGGAAGAAAGACTCGTCTTTTTTGCAACAGGAGCAGTAACTCCAAAATAAAGCGACCTGTGGCGGGTCTTGGTGGGATTGAAGAAGGGTGGAAGGGGAAATTACCACCGCTGGCCCCACAGGTTTTCCTTCTTCACTACTTTTGCTCGTCCTTTCCTGCTTGGCAAATTTTCTCCTCGTGTATTTTTTTTTCTATTCTGCAGGGATCCAATGAGAGAATCCGTTTCTTTTCGTATATGTGCATTATATAAATATATATATATATGTATAGAAAGTCAACTGGTCACTGAGGCCGTGAGAAATTGCTGCTGCTCCCGACGCGGACTTTTCTTGCTTAATTGACGAATGAATCCGCTATTTCCGCCGCGGATCAACTTTGCAAAGATTGACCGAACGTTTTATTTATCACTCAAACAATCCTAAACCCCCCTAATATTATTTCAAGGTCAGCATGAAAACGACTGCAAAAATTCTTCAACGAGTAAGAACTTCCCTCCCGTCTCAAATGTCTGCTTTCGAAGAATTGCCGCGGAATATATTTGAATATTCGGTGAGCAACTGCGTCATCTTGAAGCTTTTTTCTTCTGTTCACGTGGTCATTTGTTCATATTTTTTTTCATTCTTGATCTTCTCTTCTTGAGTTCATGAATATTTTCTGTGAAACCATGCTTGAAAAAATCTCAATCACGATTCTAATTTTTGACAGCCCGGTCTCGAGTGTTCAGAGAAAATGCAGTTCTATATGACCTCATCTCCCTTAGGACAAAGGCTTTACCTATATAGATATCGGCATTTTTTGAAAGAATGTTTTAGGATCCGTTTTTAGGACGTAAGGTAAACTATGTTGAACATTTTGAAGAATTGTATTTAAATATTTGGTATTTGCGAGCCTTTTCCACGGACGCGGGTGTTCTGATCTGAGCAAAAAATTTTGTTGTGGCTGAAAATGCCCTCAAATAATAATTTTTGAAAAATAATTTTAAAGAGTCAGGAGTCCATTTCAATAAAATTCTAAAAAAAAGCAGATTTTTTGTGATACTTATGTTGTTAAACCGTAGTTCAGAGGATTCTGACGCAAAAGCTAGGGTTGCCAAAGCGAGGACAGAATCTAAATAGATTCACGAAAATAATCGTGAAAAATCCCTCTGCTTTCATAAGATTTCACGTTTCCAAGAACATTGAAATATCAATAATATTAAAACATACTTGTTGAAATTGGCTTTCCAAAAATTCTTGAATGGGATATAATACTCTTGAATATACAGATTCAACATGCAAACCGGAATGATTTAGATCAGCTCGATGCTTTTAGAACATGGGATACGTTTCAAGCACTTTCTCGTGTTTCTCCGGGAGCTATGAAGCCCTGAAATAAGAGATACAGTTCCGGAAATGGAATAAGGTCATAAAAATATATCACCACGGATTTTTCCTGAAAGCAACATCCTGGGGCAATTTGTATTTCCGCGCTTAAAATGTCAACATTCTCCTCTTGCATTCACAAATACTGTCCTTTCGTCGGGTTTCCACATATTTTTTTTTTTAGCCACACGTGGAAGCACATCACATCAAATCTCTCTTCCATGACCTGCCCCACATAAAAACAGCCATAACCGCCTTTTTGAAAGGTATGCATGCATTTCAACACGCGCGCGCAACATTTTTTCTCGGGTTATGTGCGAGAAATCTATTTGAACGCAAACATTCTCTTTTTCCCAGAGGTACGACGAGATCCTTGCATTTTAATGTTGCAGAAGTCTTTCAGCAAAAAGTATACAAAGCAAAAAAAAAAAAAAAAAAAACCCCGCGGGCCGAAAATCCTCTTTCTCTTTTAAATTTGTTTCAACGATTTCTGCGAGTGTTCCAGCACTTTGGGAATCTATATTCGCAACTGATCACAAATGGAATGCGTTGGTAGACGTTGCTAATGCCCGCAAAACTTTTTTTTTTTTATCTAAACACACCAATAGTATACATACATCCATACGTGCAGTGATGTAAATATGTTTTATGCTTTGAAGGGTTGTCACAGCCATGAACCGAATTTTCGTTTGAGGTGTATTTTTCAATGGAATTCCTGAAAACCCACATTTTTTTTCGCTGGTTAGAAAGTGAGGCGCTTGCCTTTGCAGGAAAGACATGGAACACATTCGCAATTCGTTGTCCTGTTCGCGTTCTTCTTCGCTCGTTTTTTGAAGAATGGTAAAATTATTGGAATAAAGCATTCATTTTTCTCTCTTGTGCTGGTTTTTTCTCTTTGTGTACGATTCATTGATCAAATCGGCATGTTTCCAATGAAAATGCTGAATAAGGAGCAGCTCTTCCTCAATTTCTGGATGGAGTGTAGATAGTTCAGAACCTTGATTAAGCATATGAAGCAGCGTTATTATTTCACGAATTTATAGAAAAGGTTCACGTGCTTTGGATAGTTTTAGACAGGTAACTGATTTGTACGACGATTGAAAAATATACATTTATGCGTATTTTTAAAGATTGGCACGACGTTTTGAGCGTCGAAGATCAGAGTTGATTTTGCTCAATTTCCATTTGCATCACTGTGCCTTACAGAATTTGTTGAAGAGTACTTGCATTATTCTACTTCAGTCCTGGGCGGAAACTTAATTTCTTGGGATAATTTGTGCACAGGGCTTCTTATTGTTTCATACAGAAGACCAAAAAATCAGCCAACAACAAATTTGAATCCATTTTAGTTTCTTCTACTCAAATTCAGCCTGGAAAAAGGGCTGAACACAATAAGTGCCTGACGATACATTAATATTTAGAAAATGCACGCTTTTTTTGCGTGTCTTTGATTCAAGAAATCCTGTTCCTTTCACTGCGTTAGGATTAAATTTCAACAAGAGAGACTTTCATCGGTCTTTTTTTTCGTACATCAACATATTTTGCTTCATCTTGCCGTGAAAATGAAAGCTTCTTGATTTTGACGAAATGTGAGCTTATTTTTAAATATTCAGTATACGTCAACTAAGAATGAAGTTTTTCATTAGATTTTTCTCAAGCTCTTCAATTTTTTTTGCATATTCCGGTTTTTTTCCTACAGAAATAACAGCCGGAAAGAAAATCTGTTTTATCCGGGTTCCCCTCAATAATCTATGTACGAGTGATGGAGGTTCAAAAATGTACACGAATGGTTATGAATTTGAAATTACCCACTCATGATATTGAGTTGCAGCCATCATGTATTTATTTAATTATTTTACTCATATATGTTCACCGTGATCAACCTTTTTGAGAAAGACGGCGAAATTGGTGAAATGGTCTATAGGTTTCAAGTAAAATTACTGATTTTTATTTTATTTTAGTGCAGTTGGCAAGACTTGATGATTGAGATGCTTGAAGGTTAAGTTTGCCGGATGATCCTCGGGGTTTTATTTGTGTGCCGGGAAAAATATACTAACATGTCTTCCAGCATTATTGACGCGCCCGCGAAAGGTTTTTGTTGTTGTTGTTTTTGTTCATCCTCTGTATAGGAAACAAAGCCCGAGATGAGTGTCGATAATTAATTACTCGTCGTTGGTGTCGTCGCCGACCAGAACGCCCAGAAGCGTGGAATACGGCGCCGAGGTGTCGGTATCGCTGACGTTGCCTCTTCCGGACCGCTGACGTCTTTTACACCCGCGGGCCTTGGTGCTGGTGGCTTTCGGCGGTGTCGGGCTGGCACAGGATGCTGTCGACGATGCTGACGACGAGGCTGCGGAAGTGGTGCGTGGGTGCTGTTGTTGCTGGCTATGGGAGTCCGGATGCGGCGAGTCCTTCAGCTCGTAAGGCGTGGACTGGCCGCGCATGTCGCAAATGGTGTTGGAGAGTGCCATGATGTAGTTCTTGGCCAGGGTCAGGGTCTCTATCTTGGATAACTTGCGTTCCTTCTTCACGTGTGGGATCACTTCTCGAAGTGACTGCGAAACAATTTTTGAAAATACAAAGAGAGAAACGAATTGAGAAAGTGAAGGCCGTTAACCGATGCAACGAGAAATCATTTCAAATGAAACAAAAGTTTTTGAAATCTCCAGCGCCGATTTTGCGAATAATATATTGCCTGAAAATGTATGAAATGATTAATAAAGATTGTTCTTCTTCGGAATCGGGAAAATTACGCATCAAAATCAAACATCGACATTTGGAAAATATTTTGCTGCGCGGGTTTCAAATTATCCTTTATGCAACATTGCAATTTTTGAAGCGCATGATTTTTGAAAGGCCAAGAATTTTAAACCTTTCGTTGCATTTACCAATGGCTTCCGATTTGACAGTGTAAAGACAGTCTTCTCCCCAGAACTACATTAGGCAATTTTTCTTATCAATCCGTGCAAGGATTAATATTTAAAATAAAAGATAAATGCATGAAACGAACGAAAAAAAACAGAAATTGCGTATAACACTTGTTTCAAAAGTTTTCGGAAAATTTTATTGCTCAAAGATCTGTTGAGAATGTAGAGGTTCCAACTATAGAAAAGACTAGTTGGGAACCATTAATAACTCGTAATTTAATTGTACAGCTCAAAACCCCAGAGTAGTGCAGGTGATTGGAATTTCTCAACGGTTTCAAAAAACGAGTCTGTGAAACATGGACATTTTGATAGAATACATAATTTTCCACAGCTTTCTTAAAATTCTGAGAGATTACATGTTTGTCTTGGTTTAGCAATCATTTTCATTTTTGAAACTTTAAATGACGATGATCTTAACACGTGAGGTTTTTTTTCGCTGTTTGAAAGTCACCTGAATAGTTTTCAGTTTTATGAGGCGTGAATCGCACGTGATTTCGATTCGTTTTCTTTGCAGAATGCTCTATATAACTATATTCGTTGTATATATACTTTATATATATGATGAAAAGCGCTATAATGGTAAACTTCTTCTTTGATGACCAGCAGGAACCCTTATTCCCCCCATTTTCGAAAGCAAACAACTGGAAAAGGATGGAAACCCTGGAGCTCTCAAGCGCAGAATGCAAGCAGGGAGGAAAATACAACGCAGTTACGCGAGCATTTCGACTCGAAAAACAAAAATATTAAAAATCGGATTACCAAAGAAAAATACATAAAAAAAGAAAGAAATTTTTCCTATACACCAGCCTGGAATTTATAGCCTCCAAACAAAAGCCTCAAACCCGAAAAGAGTGTCATATTTGGTTTCCAGTTATATTCGCAGACACGCAGCGTATGGCCAAAGAAAAGAAGCTCCACTTTTTTTTCAAGCGTCCTCGGCGCGAAGTTGCATCAGTGGCAGTTCCGAAAACCCGGCCACTATGGCGACACCCGTCGGCCAAGGGACGAACGCGATTTTGGGGCCTTGGCAGCAAGAGAACCTCTGAACAAGTGCCGGTGTTGTCGACGCGGTCCCAGAAAATGGCACAGTTTTCTTGCTGGAGCCACGTTTCCAATGTCCTTCGCGAGCCGCACGTGGTCATCAAATTACTGACTGCTGTACGTATATAATAAGCAATGGAATGACGAAAACCCGAAACCTATTATTGTGGCCATCAGCAAGGGCCACATTAATCCTTTTTGTAAGGGCCGCATAGGGCCAGAATAGACCATATTTTTTTTTAAGTTTCAAATCTTCCCAATTCGAATGCAACTTTTAAAGTTTGATGCAGTGCTATGCATCGAATCACAAGCATATATAGCCCCAGAAAATTTTTAATGGGTGGAGCAACATTTCGAAATTTGAAATTCATCTTTCAAATATGTTCAATTTATTTTGAATAGTGGCAGCTGCTACCTTGGAAAATATGGGAAAGGATTATTTTTTTCATTTATTGTCAAGATCAGGCCATCGGGCCGTACGTTGGGCAGCACTGTTGCAGAGGAACACATTGAAAGCCGAGCGATATTTTTTTGCTGTTGTTTGCTAATTATTTAAAAAAAGACCGCATTGTTTTCCAGAATCGTTCAATACGTATTATTTTTCTATCCGAATGGCATTGGGTTTCTGGGTATTTTAACTGGCTCAAGCATTACGGCTTAAAATCTAAAGATGTAAGCATTCTCAAAACCAGAAACTTGAGTCCGATCGGTTCAATCAAATATTTGTTCGAGACTTGCTCGTTTTCCCAACGGTTCTTTGGCAAAAATGAACACAGCAAGTTCAAGAAAAGAATAAGAGAAAACATTGAAAGATTAAATAAAGTATCTTGCAGATTTGGTTTGTATCACAACTTTTCAACCCCTTGAAAGCAGTCGATTGATTATTGATTTAGTTATTAATTTATGGATTGAATTCTCCCAAACACGCAGAAAACAATTCCTGAAGATGACTATTGCTTAAACCCTCTGGAACTAAAGGATTTGCTCTTTTTCTATTCTATACAATATTTTGGTAGTGAGAGAAAGCAGAATTTTTCTGGAGATCGATAAATAATTGATGGAATCAGATTCTGGAACAACAAAAAACGAATTGTTACACCAGGAAGTACTTTGAATGACTTCTTATTGCCGTTAAGCGTAAAAATAAAGGGAATAAACGGGTTTCGAGTGCACCAGAAAAATTTTTCACAAATGCCACTTTTATGTTTTCTTAAGTGAAAAGGAATATTTGAAGGTTTGCCTAATTTTTCTTGCTTTTTACTGCCTCCGAGCAGAAGCATCGAAGTACGTGGAGTGAAAAAAGTGCATTGGGTGTTGGGTAAACTTATTTCCTTCAGGAATCGTCAGGATTACATGGCTTCTTCCTTTCACTAATTACCGCAATGCTTGTTGAACTTCCTCGACATATTTCCGAGTATACAGCAGAGATAAGTGAACGCTATTTGTGATTTTTTGCGTTAAACCAATCCAGCATATCTCCTGTCAAGATACCACCCTGTGCCCTTTAGCCCTTCATCATCCTAGGAGGATGTCAATTATACAGGATCGGAAGCTAAAATCGAGAAATCAATTTTTAATTGAAAAAATTCGTGGCTCAAATGTCATTGGGTTTAGGATGCACCTTTAAATAATTAGTTCAATCGGAACTCAACTAATTACGCTTATTGTTCTGGTTACCTTTCTCTCAGACGTTTAACACATGCTGGAAATTTATTTCAGTTGTCAGCTATGGTGGCCTTGGCAATGCATCGAGAGACCTGGGATGACGACCCGAGGGCAATGTATTCGCCTTTGTATCTGGATGTGGATCAAACTTATTTCTTCATTGGAACGTTGTTCATGTACACAGTTGTGCCACTGACGCTCGTCTTGGGGTACTTCTTCGGGCAAAATACTGCCATGCAGGTGAGAATAAGGCGAAAAAAACCAAGGGTTTTGCACATTATTCAGTTTCCAAATTATCCAATGTTCGCCCTGTTGAAAATTATCCCAGTCTTGAAATACTGTTTATTGGTTTTACCACGAATCAGAACATTCCCTCCAATTTGGGAATCATATAAGTAGCCCCAAAATGTACTTTTTCAAAGTCTGTCGCTGGTGCGCCAAGTCTATGAAAGAAAGCGAGAGATGACACTTGAATAAGGCAGAAATTGACGGAAAAGCGACAGTATTTTGTTTTTTTTCCTCGTCAAAATAATTTAATTTTCCGTATTGAAAACGTTTAATTTCTTTAAGCACTGATTGGTTTCACCGTGAGCGAAAACGTTTTTCAAGATTTATCGATCAGAAGAAACCGCGGAAAGTCTTTTTCGAAACCCCGTACTTATTGCTGCAATACCGTGCTTGATGAAAACACGAGGATTGACGCTCAAAAAGACTATAAAATTCGATGTATGTGACTTTTCAATCAATCACACTTTACGCAGTATAGAAGTTCAAGATTAAAAAGTTTAATCGCTTATTTTTATAGCTTATTTTGACATTTTTTTTACCCGTTTGGCATCAAGTTCTGCATTAGACGATTATATATGCATCCTGAATAATTTATTGCACTTGTTTTGACGGAAGAAGGGACATACTATTTACTCAGGTCTGCACAGGAATTCTTCATTTATTAACCCAAACAGAGCCTCAAGCTATTTATTTCACAGGACCTCATGTTGAACCTCCAAGGATAACCACGAAAACTACATTAACCTTCTTGTAGAAAGGTTAAGTGGAGGAGAGTGTTCTGCATGATCACCCCCCATTTCGCGCGAAAATTACGCAGAGGTTTTTGTATTATTTCGTTCTTTGACTATTAATTTTGCGAGTAAATTAAATGGATGAATAAAACCGTAGGTATTTTACCAAAAATTACCAATTTAATATGGTTATACTGATGACGGAGAAAGCGTCTGAGTGCTGTTGGAATGAGCCATCTCGATTTCTAAAACTTCACCTTTTCCTGGACTATTCTCTTTAATTTAAATTGGTTGCTTGTTTTCAACTCAAGTCGCGGATTCCCTTACATGTGGATAAGGTCAGAGGCATGAAAAAAAAAAAAAAAAACTGAAGCAACTTCTGTAGACTCCGATCAGCATGAAAGGAAGCAGTTACGTAATTTCCTCCTTAGAGATTTGACCTTATATACACAGTGATTCATTCTCCTTCAAT